GGTCCCATTTAGGTATTTGTATCATAGGATCAACAGAAGCAAGACATCAAGTGTGTCACCTCTCATCGTCAGCGGTAGTAAAGATGTGTTTAAGAACAAAAGGGAGTTTGGATTCCACCTGCAGCTGTTTGTGTATCAGGCAAACAGCTGTTTCATTTGTTCCAAGCTCAGTTTGGTAAAATAATGTTCCATTCATGCCTGAGCTGATGATGGATGCCAATTCATTAAATCCAATGGTGTGGATATATGTGCTGCTTTTGTGTATAGACTTTATGCTGTGTTCCAGAGGTGTCAGTAGGAAATTTGGGGAGATCTGAAGAAAAGTCAGGGCTCCAAGTAGGAAAACAATGTTCAGCCCTGAGGATGCCACATTAACATGGTAGCATACACTGCAAAAGTGAATTTGCATTTCTTTTAACATGGTTATCACAGTCCTCCAAACAGTTCAGTAACCACAGCACCCTGGGTTGGGTTTTGGCAAGGGACTTTCGCCACATGTCATTGCCACTGTCATATTTCCTATCGCCTATTTCTTGCCCGACAGACTGCTTGATTTGATATTTGCAGGGCCTTAAACGCATATAGCCCAACATTTTGAGAAATAAGCATTTTTGCTTTGCTTTCCAGGAGTTAGAGAAAATTGATATCTGTCTCATTTCTGTAAGTCATAAATTAAAGTCCTAAATTAAATGAGATGTCGGTTTATTTCTCTGTAAGGGATCCATACTGTTGGACTCCTTTTTTGCAGTTCATGGAGCTGCCCCCTGCTGGCCATTAGAAAGAATGCAGACTCTACCACACTGACTTCACTTCAGAGACCTGGAAGCTCTTTCCACTGTATATACTGTCAATGCTCCAAACATGAGACTGCTATCAATCTTCTCATTTAACTTTAATGGAGAATGCACATAAGTGCATTTCCCAAAATGTTGAACCATGTACCTAAACTGAACAAAATGCCTGTTTTTAGTTATTGAAATCTGACAGAAGTGATCGCCAATAAATCTGTTGACTTTCAAGGCCAGGAGTTTTATTATCCTTCTATAAATCTCAAGTTTAAAGCTGTACTTAAAGTCACTGAAATTCTTTGCTAACTACAGTAAGGACTGTTGATATAACTTAAGCTTTAACATAGATAAGAGTCTTTACAGACTTGTGACCCTAATAATCCCAGCTGTAATGGAGCCTATCAGCTTGCTGTTCTGAGCAGTGAGTTGCATTTATTATGAACGCATGTCTCACAAACACAGCAGTAACTACCTTTGACACAGAGGATCGTGTATACTTTCAAGTCTGCAGAGGCTTTTGACCGCAGACGCTATTAATCTGTTTCCAGGCCTCGAGTGTACAATAGACCACAGTACACTATGCCTGGGAACTCACCTCCCCTCCCACCGCTCATTCACCTCTCACCAGCATCTCACCACAAAACCTGTTCACACACAGAGATTATGCATTCTGCAGTTTTTACTTTGCGTTCATGTGACCAAACTGACATTTGTTTCCTTTTAATTGAGGAAGGCTGTAGGGCAGTATGTAAGGAATGTATTCTAATACATTTGCACCATCCCTTTATTTTTTTACTTTTCTGTACAGATTCAAACTGTATGCTTCCTGGTAAACCTGTTATAGCCAGGTTTAAAAACAGTGTCCAACACTACATACTATATGTTTTTTGGTTGTTTGACAGTCAATGTTAACATTTTGTGTTCTCGGCACAGCTGAGGACTTCATCACAGGGGTGCTATGCCTTGAGATCTAGCTAAATGTCCTTGCAACATCCAAAATCACCATCTGACAACCAGTCTGGCTGTGTTTAATACTACGACTACCTTCCTCTTTTTGTCTCTCATCTAAACAGGGTTCAATTGTATGATATTGTTTGAATTTGTATGTTAATACTGTGCTGTTAGCAAACTGTTCTCCAGTGAGCATGATTCCCATTCCTGAGCACCGCACATCAGAAGGGCCCGTTGTACTGCGTGGTGTGAAGAAGGCAACCTCCGAGCGTTGGTTCAATTTTCAAGACAAGACTGGAAAGACACCAAGAAGAAATGGCTTTGTGAAAGACTCTATGGGAGGAAATAAGCTTCTTTCTCATCCCTTGACACCTCCTCTCCACCAATGTTAAATAGCTATGACAATAATGATAAGATTAACAACAGCATTTGTAACCTTAAAAACTGCAATCTTACAAAAAGTGACCATCCTGTGTTATGATGATGATAATGACGGTGGCCAATCTTCAGTCCAGATCCAGCCTCTCTCTGACTGTAATCTTAAAGTAGTTTTTAGGAAATACTCTTACATTGCCTGGCTGTCTAAATTTCAAAATACACCTATCAACACCTCTAAAGAAAAGTAAAAGGAGGTTGTTAGATGAGCTACATAGTCTGCTTAGTTTGTGGATAATGCTGTTGTTCCAGCATAACTCCCAGTAAAACCACAAGTTGCCATTGTTACATTTCTGTTTGTGTACAGGTTAAAGGTGTTGTAAGTGAAATCTGCATTTTGGCTAAGTTCCTGTCCGTTCTTGCAGTCAGCAGTCGCCTCCCTCCTAACCACAAGTCACCACACTGAAATTCTGCTGCCTGAGGACCGCCTCTTTGTGGAGTTCTCTCTCCTGATTGGACAAAGTAGGAACGGGATACCAGAAAACAAATTCTCTGTTTACTGGAGAAAGGAGGGACTGGGGAGCCATTCTTTGACTGTACACTTTGTATCAGTGACAGCTGTCGGAACGTAGAGCTATTTAACACTTATTTTAACAAAAAAGATATTGCTTACAGCGCCTTTAAATAAACAAGAATGAGTCATTAGAGAGTTTTAGAGGTGTTGCTACATATCATTTGGAACTAAATAAGAATATTGCACATTTTGGCACACAGACATGAGATTGATATTAATCTTCTCATCTCGCTCTCAGAAAACAGCCCAGAACAGGATATCTCCAAAAATTTGGACTATACCTTTAATGGTGTGTTCTTATGTTGTCCAGGGGAATGATGAAACCAACCCACTGATAGGGCTCCTATACCAGACACCATCAGCAGCTGTTAGGCCCTCGACGCAGTACATAGTACCGAATTATTCAGCTCCTGATCCCCATGGCCACATTTCACAGCTTTATTGAATAAATGTTATTTATTTTATATATTATGTATAAGGCCTTTGATTTGATGTGATTTTATTGATTGGTTAAAAAAAATAAATAGATGTACAATGAATGATGTTTGGGACTCAAGTTTGCTGTTTTTCCACTGGGGTTTGGCGCCCTCTGCTGACAGACTGAAGGAGGATCATTGTGACCTACATTGGTCACTGATATATTAATGGGGATGAGAGTTGAGATCCATCCATCCTTTGATCCAGAACAAGAGTTTCTTTTGTCCTGATTACATTTAGTAGCTGTTAGTGAGATATTGCTACAGCCAGGTTCAATGGGAACAAAAGATGCAAAACAAAAATGAAATAGGTAATCTATATTAGCTGGTGGCTATAGTTTGGCAACGGATGCCATAGAAATGAAATGTATTTTATATATCTGGTGACAGTGTGGCCTATATTAACACAATAGTCAAGTCAAATTACAATCTGTACAGCATACAGACCCACAATTTACCCACAATTCAGATAAGGGGCAAGAAATTTAAACATAATAATGGCATTTTGATTCTCCCCTCAGAATTATATCCTGTCAGTGTGGAGAGGGCTTTAAAACACAATTTAGGATGATGTAATGTATAAAATATATAATATAATTAATATGTAATTATATACTAATAAATTACATTTGTTAAATTTCTGAAAAGATTCTGACAAAAGAAAAGAGGAGTGGAGCCCCAGGGGATGTAAATGTGTCTGCCACAGTATTTATAAAACCCAGTCCCTGTATCTTATGGGTTAACTATGGGGCTATTTGAGAGAGAGCCGCCGAATTTAGAGAAAACGGTTGTCATGATGACTTCAGGTTCATTTTACAACACAGTAAACACCATACAAGACCTTTGTTTTTCTAGGTGCTCGTCGATTGTCCCGCATTACTTGAACGCAGCACTGGTTGGAGCGCCCACAGCAACCAATGAGAGCCAACAACATTAGGTCGCTCCGCCTTTTATTACCCATCATGCTCTCGGCTACTCAAATCCCCTACATACATTTGCTAAAATACCGAAAATAATGAACTTAAGACTAAACAGTTCAAATAATAGTTAGTTATCGTACATGACTGTTACACAACACGTCATAAAGCACTGAGACACTGAGACACAGTCTCAGGTCCTGGACCCCTGAGTGAGGGACATGTTGCCGCTGGTCAGTACGTGGGATGTTCAAGACATTCGTTAAAAAGGGCTTCTGCTATGTTTGGCACAGGAGGGGTGGGGAAATCCACTCTTCCTGCGGAATCGCCATCAAGAGATTTCGGAAGCACAATTTTTAAACCAGGGGCTGCTAGTGATCACTTGTCCTGGCGCCCCGTCCTCTATTGTGGAAGAAAATACACAACGTATGGGTTATATGAGCAGAATACAGAGTGATCACTCTCATATCAAACCAACAAATGAAAACTGTTCAATCAGAACATATCTTTAGACAACTTATAAGGTTAAACATATACAGATGTGTGATATGGCCGCTTAGCTCCATATATTGACAGTTAAAATATAATTCGTATTTCTATAGCAAACTAGCTGTTAGACTTCGCCTTGGGGTTAAGAATGCCTTTATTTCAGGGACTTGGACGCTATACCCACAGTGCTCTGAGCTTCACTGTTCAAAATGTCACACAGTTTATTAAACACCACATTACACAGCCAATGTATCACTAACTGGGATGCAAGCTGAATAGACCCAATCTAGGAGATATAAGCTTCGTCAATGAAACATATAAAAACAGAGTTCCATCACAGGTGGCAGGCTCTTGTGTGTCTCCTCTGTGATACCGTTAGTGTAGTCAGAGAGTAGAAAGAGTTGTGGTTGAATATCAGGGTTTAAGAGCGTGATAACAAGGCGAGCGCTGTTCAGCAGGAAGTCAAGCTATATCAGAGAAGTGCGCATGCGCCGCAGCTCTCCACAATCTAGGGCTGCGTTTCTCTTCATAAAACGGTAAGGACAAGCTATTTTTTTACTATGTGATTTTAAATATACTTGGCTGCAAAATATCATCCGCGCTTACGACGCGAACGGTAGTTTTAGCCGGGGGTTTAGGGTATATCGCGGAGGGGGTTCAGCCAGCCAGGCTCGTACAGAATGGAGGGGCAACGCCGTCGCCGTGCCGTTGTTTGCTGTACGTGCCGCCGCACAGGGAGACGTCATTTTGAGGGGGAGCGGAGAGTTAAAATGCAGAGTTACGAAGGGACGTACGGTTCAGAGACAAGCGGCACGTAACCGTCACACTGTAAATGCAAAGCTTTACCCGTCTCGGGCAGTATAGTTTACAATATTGTCCAGTTTTCCACACATCAAGTTACGCCCTTGCGTTAGCCATAATGGCTACCGTCGAGCCTAGTCTGAGTAGCTGTGTGGATCTCAATAGCGAAAAGCAGTCAGGTGCCTACTGCGGTCGTGATAACCCATCTAACTTTGGGAAATAGGGATGTTTCATCTGCAACAAAGCAGATGGATTTAGCTCTGCTGTAACTGTGCATGGTCCACCAGCCTCTTGTCAGTTAGAATCTCCCTAAATTACGCGAAACTGCGGTTTCTATTCCACAATATGCGGGGGAAACCCTCACACTAACGCCACAGTTTGCTCCAAAATGTCTTTTAGAAACTGGGTCTTTATGAGCAGTTTGCATAGCTGACACAACATGTTTTATTGCAGTGTAATATTTGTTATGGCCTTGTGATAAATGTAATGTAAATAAATTTAAAATGTGACCTTTAATATTCTAATAATTATTACTCCCATTAGTTCACAGACATGAAGACATTGTGTGTCAGAAGCATTTCAGAAATATGATTTAAAAAAGTGACGCAATGTTTGGTAAAATTTAGTAGATATAACGCAACTAGATTGATATCGATGAATTCATACATTTGAACATATTGGAGAACGTTACCGTTTAAATGACGGATTTCTTCAGGAGGTTTGGTTCATGGTGTTCGTGTTAGGGAGAGTGAAGCATAAGTAGTCTTTCAAGCTAGCTATCGTTAACTAAGTTAGCTAAAGTTAACAGCTAATCCCAATAATAGAATATTAAAATGTACTCAAACATTACTGCATTATATTTTGAATTTTTTTTAATTGTATCCACTCACTTCACTATGTTACAAAGGGCTTACATGTATAGTATGTCTACATTTGGGTTAAATAGTTCAGTTAGTTTCCTAAAGTTAGCTAGCTAAGTTAACAGCTATCCCAATGCTAGTCCATCATTTTTATTTTATCAACTCAACTATGTTACAACATGCTTACATGTACAGTATGTCTACTATTAAAACACCTTTAGGCTACTAAATAAGTTGCACTAACATGTTAACGTATGTCTTGTGGAACAACATCATGCCACCTCACCCTAATGTCCAAACCAACAAGAAATTCCTTTTTCTATTATCAGGCGCTCCACAATCTGCTTCATGTTCAACTTCTCATTCATCCTCAATGCATATGACCAGTCCACTCAACATCTCATACTCCACCCCAAATCTCAATATCACTAATGGTACATGACATCCTGAATAATATATGGGTATGTTTTTTTTTGTTTTTTTAAATGTATTTGTCCTTTTTCAGATGAACAAACTCCTGGATAGCTGTTATATGAAAGCAGCCCCCCTCTGTAGTCTACTCTGAGTGTGATGGCGACCACGGAGGAGGTCACGGTGTCCATGGGGGAGGTGGTGATGGTGAAGACTGACGGTGAAGGGGACCCCGATGACCCAAATAAGACTCAGGTCATCCTCCAGCTCCAGCCAATCACCACTGGGTATGTACTGACGCCAGGTGTAACCTCACTGACTGAAATTACAGTTTAGTTCCCTTCAAAACAATTTAACAGAACAAACTGCAGGGATGCCAGATGATCAGCCATTCTTAGGTTTTAATTACAGTGGGACAAAGAGTACTGCTCCTAAGTAGATACTTACATACACAATACATAGACCGTATCCTCTATACCACCAAGAAGAAATGTGAAAATGCCAACTGTTTTTTCTTTTCAGAGATGAATCTGCTGAAACGGATGCAGCTGTCATGGCTGTTGAAGCCCATCCAGGTTAGAGTCTGTCAGAATGATGTTTGGATCATTTGAAAGATTTAGTGATGCATATGTTAATCAATTTCCTCTGGTCTTCTCCTGTTAAAATTTTGTGTCTTTTTTAATTTTTTTTTTTAGAACAAACTGAAGGAGATGACGTTGAAATTGGATGTCCCATAACATGCGGCGACTGTAAAGCTGTGTTGCTGGTGAAGAAATTTGTGTGCCCAGGAATCAATGTAAAATGTGTGAAGGTTGGTATTCGTCATACACATTGAAGCAAAGTGGCAACTGTAGGAGGGTTTCACTAGCGGTCTTCTAATGCTCATCCATATGCAATTACATGAAAATGAAGAAAACTTGGTTGTTACGAACATGCTGTTATGCATGAGTTGAATTAAACGGGCACTAAGCTAAACACAGCAAATGTTCTGAACCAAAATAAATATTGAAGCTCACAAAAGAAATACGAAACACGGGTAAGAAATAATTGAGGCCACTGTCAAAAAATACTGTACACGTCTGTAAAAACAAGTTGGGACGTGTAATCCAATCAAGGCAAAATGTTTGCACAGCTTTATTGAGTTTGTATACTTGCAGGACCGGGACATTTCCACACTTTTTCAAAATGTTAATTTTTTCGTATTACCAACAGTGAATGGTAAGGTGTCACTGTTGTATCCATACAGTAGTATTCTGACTGAGCGTATGTAGGACATTCACACAGGTAAATGACTAAGTCTGTAATGACAGTATAGACACTAAAATCATTTGGGTTTTTATTGACAGGGAGCGAGAGGTATGTTGCGGTTATATGGTATGCAACTCCACAACATATAGAACACAAGTTTAGTGCTTATAGACATTATAATGTGGAATTATTACATACTCTAGTACTGGAAAATCCCGACATCCCCTCAAAACATTGTTCCTGCATCACAACTGTTAGCATCATTATATAGAACATACTTTATAGCAGTAGTATATGGTATCCCTTTCAGACATAGTGATAGATTACATTTATCATCAGTCAGTAGTTACTACTGCACAACATTTGACTGACCCCAAACCCCTTTTATCTAGTGCAGTGGTTTCCCAACAGTGTGCTGTGAAGCGAGGTTAGCTGTGCCGTGGGATTTTGTGACAAGCATACAATATGCAATGTACAACTAAACATGAACACTATATCCGTACCTGGTACGTGCTTTGTAGTTCCATTACCTCATTTTTAGTGCTGTAACCTGTCTACTTTAAATGGGTGTGTTGCTCTGCCTTTTTGTGGCTTGTTTGAAAACCACTGACATAGTTACACCATACCACATCCTCTAAGCATTAGGGCTGTAACGGTTCTGAAACCAAGACAGAAGTCGCGGATCCGAGAGACAGAACCGCGACACACTCGCTCCCTGGACTGTTGAGCTCTCATTAAGACAGTGTAACTGCGGCGGTGGCGGCGGCCCATGGGGTGGTAGCGGTGTACGCCTATATCATATTTGTATTGACAGTAGGTTATTCTAGGTCATTTTCCACCTGATTTTAGTGTTTATTTACTACTTTAATCTGCTCCCTTTCTCTTCTCCCCACACTCACACACAATTCAATTCAATTCAATTTTATTTGTATAGCGCCAATTCATAACAGAAGTTATCTCAGGACACTTTTCAAATAGAGCAGGTCTAGACCGAACTCTTTAACATTAATTACAGAGACCCAACAGTACCACCATGAGCAAGCACTTGGCGACAAGGGCAAGGAAAACTGCCTGTTAAAGGCAGAAACCTAGGACAGATCCTCCGGCTCTAGGTGGGTGGTCGTCTGTCTCGACCAGTTGGGGTGAGAGAGAGAGAGAGAGAGAGAGAGAGAGAGAGAGAGAGAGGCGACAGACAGACAGGTGCACAGCAACAACAGTATTGGCAATGGCAGTAAGCAGGACCATGGCAGGAGGCTCCACCAGGATCCATGAGAACCTGCGAGACGAAAGCACAAGAACTCCGGGGAAGAAGTGAGTTAGTAACATGCACACAGCACACACACCTAGCCTGGACCTCTGGTCACTCACGGCAAACACTTTCTCCATCCGCAGTACGTTTCATAAACTCACCCGTGATTCAGTTTTCAAGTGCGCCGCATGTGGGTCCAAACCGAAACTAACGTTAGTGAGTGACATCTGCAGTGGTGCGTTCACCGACGCTCCGTAATGTAAGATTTCTGCCGTATCCGCTTAATGTAATATCAGATAACATCTCTCTCTCTCTGTTTCTCTGCAAAATGGGGAAACGGGGAAAACCGCGGTATGAACCGAACCGTGGCTCAAAAATCGAGGTCTGAACCGAACCGTGGATTTGGTGAATCGTTACACCCCTGCTGAGCATAGTACATTTAGTTTGGTACCTGCAATAATATGAATATATTATATGTGAATGTGGTCACTTTACTCTCTCCACTAGTATGAAGACCAGCTGATCAGCCCGAAGCAGTTTGTGCACATTTCTGGAAAAGCCACCCTGAAAGACTGGAAGAGAGCCATCAGGATGGGTGGAGTAATGCTAAGGTGAGGGGACTTATATTTGGATTAGGGAGCCAAAAGCACATATTTTAATATTCTGCTTGGTTGTACTACCCGACATCATAATTAGTCATCATCACAGCCTGCATGCAAACTCACATATGTATTACTGCTGATGTAAGAAGCAGAGATGTGACTCATGCGTCTTGAATAAATATCCAAAACCATGACAAGATCAGATATTCTGTGTAGCTTTATACCAGAGAGAACTAACGAGACATTATTCCATCAGGCATGAGCTGTAGATATGATAATAACTACTCTTGAGTCTTCGTTAAACCATCTGTCTCTTTGACTGATGGAAAGACATATTGAATATTCAGAAATTGAATCACTTATCATATCCTGTATACTTTACATACATACATACCTGAGCGGTCTATATAAGGAAATATTTGTTGGTGATGGAAATTTGTGGTCATTGACACCCAGATGGAGTAATTCGATTATTCGATATTAGACATATTTCAGATCCCACTAACAAATACATGACACATCGGTACGGGACACCAGCTCTACCAACTGAGCTAACCGGGCGCCCCCATCTCCTTTCTCTGTTGATGGCACTCGTTTAGGTTTAGGGTGATAAGATGCCTGTCTTTTTGCAGAAATATGCAGCTTTACAAATAGTTTTTTAAATTTAGAAATACACCATTCTATTCTACTAATGCACAGTTTGTGTTATGAGATCCTTGAATTTGCCTTTTTTTATCTAGTCAAAATATATTCCTGCTCCTCAGGCTGCTTCTGTGATGTACTGCACACAAATCAGTTGTAACACTTCATGCAGTCGCTCTCACAAAACTTTCAAACAAGTAGAATTAGTGCACTGAGTTGGAAAGGCACTGCACCTCCACCCAGATAAGTACAGTGACGGGCAGCTCAGAAAGTGACAAACGTGTAAATGCAATGTCAGCTATAAAGGGTGCAAATATCTTTGGCAGTACTGATGAGATCACTGGTAGCCTATCAAACATAACTTCTTTCTCTCTTCTATTTCTCAACTGTTTGGTGCTGGCTTTGATGTACTGAACTCAGAAAAATGATGGATTCAGGTCAGCTGGACTTCTACCAGCACAGCACACTGTGCACCAACACGTGTCGCAGCACCAAGTTTGACCTTTTAATCAACAACACGCGGTTCCCTCCCGATGGCACCGGACTTACTACGCCCACCTCCTCTCAAGGTGAGAACACAGCAAAGTCATGGCTCGACACATGGCGGTTTATTAACAAATCTGCTGTCAGCCAGTACGGTTGTGTGTTGTTTAGAGTTGAGGGATTCTGTTTTTGCTTTATAAGGCTTGTGTCAGAATAAAACTAAATATTACGTCTGCAACTAACAATTATTTTAATTATCAATTAATCTGTCAATCATTTCTTGATTAATCGATTAGTTGTTTGGTCCATAAAATGGTGAAAAATGTTGATCGGTGTTTCCCAAAGCCCAAGGTGACGTCCTCAAATGTGTTGTTTTGTCCACAACCAAAAGATATTCAGTTTATTGTCAGAGAGGACTGAAGAAAGCAGAAAATATTCACATTTCAGAAGCTGGGATGAAAGAATTTGGATATTATTTCGATTGCTTGATTATCAAAATGGTTGAATTCATTTAACAGCTGACGTTGCAGCTCTGCAAAATATGTTGAAAGCAGATTTAGATTGCAGTAAACGGTAATTTATCCTAAACGATGAGTTAGAGAGACTGGAGACTGCATTCTTACAGCAGCTGCCATAATAACTGCCACGTTTTACTTACCATGATCGTAATGGATGACACAGGGGCAAAGAACTGCCTGGGGAAAACGCAGCTGCCAAATTCAAGCAAAGATAAAAACATGTTCATAGTTCTGACTGAACAAATGTTAATGGTATTTAACTGGTTACTGGTTGCTGTCCTCACCTTGAGTTTAAAAGTGGGTAATTCATTTAGAATTTTAATTTGAGGGCGCCCTGATAGCTTACCTGGTAGAGCTGGCGCCCCATGTACCAAAGCTTAGTCCTTGCTGCAGCGGCAGTTGGTTCAAATCCAACCTGCGGCCCTTTGCTGCGTGTCATCCACTCTTTCTCCCTCTCCCCCCTTTTCTGTGTACCTTCAACTTTCTCTGTCAATTAAAGGTATACAAGCCTGTGCTTTTCAGAAACATCAAATGAGAGAAATAAGTCCCACTGAAACTTTCTTTGTCTTCGTATTGTAGTCACAGTTAGCAAAGTTCTGCATTAAAAATGCTCCGACATTCAAGTTTATACATACAAAATTGACTCGATGCCGTACTAGAGCACCAGCATCTCAGACTAAATGAATAAAATAAAATAAAACTCACCAAAAACGTCTTTGTCTTTCAGCGGCTTGTAAACAAACCTCAAAGAGGCTGCGATAGCAACACAGGCAGAGGGATCGAGACACCATGACTCCACTAAATCTTACTTAAACTTAACAAAACAACTGAACATAGTTGTGTGCTGCTATATTCATGTTTTAAATCTCATATATAACCTTTAAAGGGCCAGCTGCTAAAAGCTTCCTGCCAAATTCACATGGTCTTTAGTATTCAGTGCAATGTTTTTAGACTGCTGGACCCTCAAATCTCAGACATTTGAAAGTCCATGTAACAAGCATAATGTGTGCTCTCTTGTGTAAATTGCAGCTCAGGTGGTCCTGGGTAACGGCGGGGTAGTGGGCGAGGACAGGGCCGAGGTTCTGAGTGGCAAGGCGGACTGGAGCTCAATCTCACTGGAGTCTATCGACAAGAAGGAATCGAATGAGATCTCAGGTCGCAGAGAGCGCACATCCCGACACAGATCCTTAATATCACAATAATGACATAAACACACCAGTGACCGAGACTTGCTTGTGTCTGTCTTCAGAGGACACACTGAACTTCTGGAAGGGCATCGCCGACGTGGGTTTGCTGGGTGAAGTGGTGACCAACATCAGCACAGAGCTGCTGGAGCTGCTGAACGGCGTGCAGCAGCGCAGGGAGCCAGCTGGCTTACAGGACACAGGTACGGAACAACGCTAATGTGTACTGGCTGCTGGGAATCATCAAAGCAGACCATATGCAAGACTTAGGGCTTGTTTGAAGGTGCATAAACGAGAAACAAATGGAAAGAGAGAACAAATTCAGCTGCTGTTGGAAGCTGATAGATGAAAAACAGACACCAGGAGGCTTGTAGAATGGCTGGTTTCTGTAACCGTAATGATTGAATGATTGTTTACAACAGCTGAATTTGTTCCTCCTTTCTGACTGACCAAGTGACCCTTTGATTGATTGCCGCACTGATCCCAGATTCCTGTCTGGTAGAGGTGGCGGTGCTCAGTAACCTTGCCCAAGTGTTCGGCCTGCTCGACTCGGTCAAGAAAATCCTGGAGAGGAGGAAGCAGCAGACGGATCCCTGCCAGGAGCAAATCCTCAGCACGCTCACCAGTGAGTACAGACCACAAACAAGGTTTCACCTCAGGAGCCTCCACACCCATTCTGTTCTTTACTCTGCTGTCCTTTGTTTGGCTGGCGACGCATATATCTTTTCAGGACCCATTGGACGTGTCGTTGGGTTTGTTTTTAGTTCTCATGGGCGTCTGAATGCCAGAGAGGTTTGATTAGGTGACAGTTAATGAGCAGTCTTCTTTCTTAGTGTGATGAAATAGTGCCAGACTGTTTTAAAATCCAGTGTCTGAGCCAGGAAATAAAGATGATAGAATTGAAGTCAGATTTAGTTACAAATACAGTTTCGAAGTGGGAGGAGCTATTCCAGGCCCTAATTGATCTAGAAGTAAAAATCCCATTCGTTGCCTTGAATTGGCACAACCAACTGCATTACAAAATACCTGGTTTTTCATAAGCAGTCAGAGCTACAAGCCTTTGTACAGTACATAAAAAACCTCGGGGGAGAAGTTCTCTACGACTCCCAAGGTGCATTTTGGCAAGAAACAGCTGAGCTTAAACTTCAGTTTCGTGCAGGGGTAACAGGAGAAAGAAGAAGAAGAAGATTAGTGCTGAGAAATCTGACTATACTACCTGCAGCTTAAATCAAAGTACCTTTAGACTCCATGCCAACTTTGAATGAATTTAGCCACTACGTTGTTGTGTTTTGTTCATTAATTCAACAATGAAGCAGTTTAAATTTGCTATAATTCTTCTTTAATGGCAGAGGCTCATGGGTATTGTTGTATTTTAGAGCCGTCTGACACGCAGCAAAACTTTAGAAATGAACAGTTTTAATATGGAAAAAACATTTTAGACACACATTACTGTTATACAGTATAATACTGGTATATACTGTATGGGAATACGTTTTGCAGTGAAATACTTACAAATGTAAATACCTTTTGGGACTACTTTCAGTGTCTTAATATCTGCTAATTAGTCATTAGATGTGATTATGCTTCATTTTATGAAAAACGATGATTTGCAGAACTCTTGGAACTCTATTCTACAAATTAGGAAACAGGCCTGTAGTCTGGTGTTTGTGCGACTTTGCTACCACAGTGTTTGAATACTAAATATTGAAAAAGGACAGATGACATTTTTATTTGTCAGTGTTGTGTGTGTGTTTTGAGATTGGACTTGACATTTGCCGGCTTAAGCGTGCCCAGCATCTTTATTAAATGTTAATATCGAATATCAATATTACGGCGTGCAAAATCTTGATTTTAGAATAAAGTAGCAAGACGAAAATGAATGTGAAAAGTGTATTAATCAGTTGTTGTTGTGTGTTGTGTGTAGACCTGGAGGTGCAGCTAGAAGAACAGAGGAAGCAGCAGCAGGTGCGAGCTCTCCTGTCCTGCCCGCAGCCTGCCAAAAACAAAACTCCCACCAAGCGCCAGACCAAGCGGCCTCGTCTCCAGAGGCCCGCCTCCACCACCACCCTCCTGACCTCCCCCGTCAACCAGCAGGCCACCCTGCAGCCCCAGCAATTCACCGTTCTTTCCCCCATCTCTCTGTCCTCCGTGGGTCAGCCGTTCACCGTGGCAGGCCTGCCCATGGCCACACTGGCCCAGTCCTCCAACACGGTCACCCTGCTCCCCGCCGGCTCACAGCTCTTCACCCGCTACATGGTGACCGGAGACGGAAAGGCGGACACCATCACCTTGCACCCGTCGTCGGGCCTCACGCTCGTTGGCACCACCGCCATGCAAGACTCCAGCCAGCTGGGCACAATGATGAGCCCCTTAGAGCTGGTGCACCTGAGCCAGCAGGCCGGCAGCACAGAGGTGGTGCCCATCGAAGGCCAGGTGGTGGACGGCACCATGCTGGTGCAGCAGGAAGTGATGCAGGGTGAGGTGGAGGCCGGCCAGGAGCACACGGTCATCGAGATCAACCCGGCTCCAATGGAGCAGGCGGTGGGAGTGATGGAGCTGCAGCTGACCGGGGAGTCGGGCCAGGACGGGGCGGCAGTGATGGTCCAGAGCGGGATGGAGGTGACGATGGCTGCAGGGGGGGAGGAGACGCAGTGCCAAATGCAGGAGGCGCAGACTGAAGGGGTTCAGGGGCTGCAGCTGGATGCCAGCGGACAGTTGTCAGGCGTACAGATAGTGGTGATAGGAGAAAACACTCAGGAAGAAAACAAGGTCAAATGAGACACAACTCCTATTTTATCCAGCAGAGCAGGTCTGGACTCGTACTGAGCTGCCACAGACTTGTGAAACTGTAAATACACAGAATTTCCAAATCCACAAATTGCCTTGGCCTAAGACCAAGCACTAGGGTAGCCATTGTTCCTTTTTTGTGTGTGTGTGTGTGTGTGTGTGTGTGTGTGTGTGTGTGTGTGTGTGTGTGTGTGTGTGTGTGTGTACATGCTCCTCTCAACATTTGTTGATTTTTATTGAAACAAAGAGGCATCAGAACATGGAGGATACCGTATGCTTCTGTTTGTTTTGTATTCAAAGGATAATTCCGGCTTATCACAACTTGGGTCAGATATTTGTAATGTTGGCTATAGTTTCTAGCTGTGATAATAACATTGCACTCAGAAATTAGCCAAAAAAAAAAAAAGCAATAGCCGATATTTTCATGCAATGGCTCAACTTACTCATCTACTTACTCAACCTGAGGGTGCTGTGCTCATTTTACTTTTCCTACCAACTAGCTACAACATAGAGAGATTGGGAGAGAGTTGAAATGAGCTGGACAGTTTCCTCATAGAAGGTGGGTGGGATAAAATGCCTAAAGCGTGTGGTTTTCTATTTAAACATTCAACGTACATGAAGTGGAATCAGAGCCTGACAGAAACTATGGCCAAAACTACAAAAAAAACCTGACTTGTAATTACCTGGAATTATCCTTCAGGCCTCCACGAACAACCAACAACGAGGACAAGAGGACGCACTGTAACCCTTAAGTCTGCACGCAGGGCTTTAATGGTGCTGATGGTTCGTCAGTTCACATCCTCTCATACTGACTCAGTAGCAGCAGGCTGCCTCTACTGTTGATCAGACGTATTACCAGTAACAGTGTTGGTGTCACTTGAGGCTGGGATTAATTGCACTGTCTGTCGTGTCGTAGCGTCGCCTCCAAGCTGTATTGTTTTTGCACTGTGTGTCGTCCTTTCAGGACTACAGGAAGACGTTTGCAACAATGCCTGCTCTCTAAACATTTCTTCAGAATGTGGTCACCCTGGCGGGTGTGCAGGGTGTTTACTTTTTTTTCTTTTTTTTTTTTTCTTCTGTGCATAGTTAAATGGAAACGGACTGAACTCCTCTCACTGGAAATGCATTGCTTATGCACTTATTCCCTCAGTGGTTTCTTACTGCTTGATTTCATTCACAAACTCCATTTATTTTCTTTAATGTGACCATCTATTGCTTTATCTCAGTATGATAGGTAGTGTGAGCTACTGGGCTGATTGTTTAAGTCAATATATAAAAAAAAACATATATATATATACTTAATGTCAAACTTGGTATGCCTGTATTTTACACTTGTAAAGTAGTGTCATATTTATTAGTTTCCAGGCTGGTGAGATGGGCCTCTCTGTTTAAAGTGCAAACATGAATTAATTTATGCTCTGGGCTGAAGTTCACATCAACAAAGACCTATTCAATACTTGTGCATTTCCAGTAATTTAATTTAACAAATGAGGGTATTTGCATATTGACTTTGTAATGTGTTTTAATATCAGATTAAAACTGAAAAGTGTTAGTGGTTGTGTGAGTGTTTGGCCACTAGAGAGCGCTGTGTGCTCACTCCAGTACGGGCTGAAACAGGAGCCGAGGGTTGCAGCCGCATTAATGGATGGTGGAAATAGTCTAATCTGTGACTTCTCTGTGTGTCAGGTTTATTGCAGTGCGTGGTGTAATCTGCACCGTCATGGCTGCCGCTGTCCGTGATGGGCAGGCCTCTGTGGAGGCTGAGCCGTGCTGACAGGGCACCAGCCGGGCTCGCCGGTTATTACATTTCCCTCTTCTTGTAGCCCGTAATACTCCCAGACAGGCTGTATGAGGGGAGAGGCTTGAGGATTTGGGTTATACAAGCGCAAAAACAGGCTCATACAAAAAAAACAAACAACGCACAAACAGAGGGGCTGAAACGTAGAGGTGTCAGTGTGGAGTACAGAAGGGAAACATCCCAACATCAGCAGCTGAATGCGAAGCCGCTGGGGGTCCAGGTCAGGGCTGAGAGCTTGAGAAAGTGAACCGCAGGGGTCATTGTGTGGTGTAGGAGGAGAGGATATGCTGTCCGAGTAAATTACGGAGGCTTTCCATAGACTGTAGATTGGATTTCGTCACATGTTGTGCACAAGACAAAGAAAACAGGACTGTCAGAAGCGTCGGTTACATGTCTCAAAGCCTCCTGAGGGGTTCAAAGGCTGTTGAAAGAAGAGGCCAACACGGCTGACATTTTGTCAGTATCACCTCAGCTGCAGCATGTTCAGCTGAGAATAGACGCACAAGCGTGACATGTTGGAGTCAGTGTATCTTATAGGCAGCACGGCTTGGAGCTCTATCTATAGCATCGGAGGAAAACATCATATCCCAGCAGATTAAACACACGCTTGACATAAAAAGGGGGTGACACAGTGACAAACCATGTGTTCAGGAAGGGGACATTTGGTCTTAAATCATGTTCTTTTAAAGTGTTCTATACCTGCTGACTCAAGATAGCCTGCTAATGAACTGGGATTATGTCAAGTTGAATACTTTGGGGTTTTAGGCTGTCGGACAGAGAAAACAATCATCAGAAAGCGTCACCTTGGGCTCTGGGAACTTGCTATTTCTTTTGCATTTTTCACTCTTTTCTATAATTTTCTCTATCTTATCTGTTTGTTTAGGAAATAATCTTCACACAAAGAATGCTAGTAAACATTAGTTGCAGCCTTAATTTAAAGCAGATCTGTGGTTTTTCTTTTTTTTTTTTTTTTTTTGGCTCTTTAAAGCTCAACAAAGCAGGATTTAAACCTTCTCTTATCAGTCTTAAATGCCAATTATAGAGAAGCAGTAATGGCTGGAGCTGCTCCCAACAGACCTATAGACCATCTTCACCCCTGCTTGTATTCCCTGTGGTATACAGTTTACTGATGAAACATTACACAGTTTCTGGGTAACAAAATCTCTCAGATTTAAAAAGATACAGACAGCGGTTCCTCAATGCCTCTTGGGTCTGCCAGATCACAGGGTTGCCAGGTGCAGCTGTAGGGCAGAGTGAGGCAGGTGCCACTGGAATTGGAATTTGAAGAGTAAAAATCTTTGCCACTGTCAAGTAAAATAACACAAGTCTAAAGCCCCTCTAGTGGCCCCAAGAGGATGAAATGTTCCTTACACCATATGGTTCAAAATGTACTGTAGATTTAGCTATTCCCAGAGCATTACAGCAGTGGGTCTTTAAATTTAAATTCCGGTTTAGTAGTTTAGACTATTATTTATCAGCTATGAAAACATATATATTTTTGGATCCTATAGAACAGAGACAGGACAACCTTACAGCTTTTCAACAGTTTATCCAGATTATACAGACTACATAAATGGAGGCAAATCCTCAGCAACGACATTGATGAGCACACTGTTATTATAACTGATTACAATGGCCAAAACTATGACCCAATAAAGTGGTGGAGGGGGGTCTGACTGGCCACCCCAAGTGTCACCCCCTTATCCTGACCTCTTCCACTCCCAGGCAGAGGCTGTATCTGTAGATCTGTAGTGTTTTAAAGCTAATGCATCCATTGGTACCAGCAATACCACGTTAGCATGAAGGGGGCTAAATAATGCTCCAAACGGAAAAACTGCCATGACCATTTTCAAAGGGATCCCTTGACCTCTGACCTCGAGATTTTCCGAATGAAAATGGGTTCTATGGGTACCCAGCTTTGCAGACACACCCACTTTATGCTAATCCCCCGCAGTTTTTGGGAAAAAACCATGCAGTTTTTCCCACTGCTGCCACCAATGTAGCTGAGCATCTTGGGTTCACCTAACTGAGTAAGTTTAATAAGAAAATAATAAACGGGACATGGGCTTTATTTTTTTTCTCTCCACAGGAGTCAACCAGGAACTCACAGTACCCATACCGCAATACAATACAAAACAGTCTGTTCCAGTATAAATGTATTATTATCGCTTAGTGTATTTATATATAGCCTATCTCCAAACTGGAATCCCTAAAAACATATTGGAATTGCAGAAACTGGGAATGACTGGGAAGCTGAGGCACTTACTTCATGCCACCCCTGCATAAGTCCGTGCCCATCTTGGGCCAACCCAGTCAAAAAAGTTTGGACACGCCCCTGACAACGAGTGCACTACTGAAACGACGACATAAACTACTCAGACAACAAAGGATGTAAAGGAGTCCAGACAGAACTTACCGAACACCTGTGTGCAGAAAAAGACAAAACACAGGTAAGCCAACATTTCCCTTTATCACAACCTGAATAAACTCCACTGAGGGCTCCTATCTAAAGAAGCACAATGAAAACACTGGTTCCTTTACAGTTAACGGTTGGGGCAGGACGCAGTGATACCCACCTGTGTCTTCACCTTCACCAGTGTTGGGCAGTAGCTCATTACTGGCTATAATATTACAGTAATAATATTGCTTTTCACAGTAACTAGTAGTGTAACTAGTTTGAATAAATGTCAGTAATAAAACTGAAATGAAATTGCAATATCACATCCTTGGATTCATTTTTGTAATGGTGGGGGAAACTAGTTTGGAAGATGGAAACATTCAGCAGGAAATATAGCAAATATTCCCATTGCTTGGATTTAAACAAACAGAACTGGATTTTAATCGGCGTAAGTCTGAATTTTGGGGAGAAAGGACACAATTACCAATTTTGTGGGGAGTAGCAGAAAAGTAATGTAACTAGTAGTAATAACTGTTGGCTGGGAGTAATAAGTAAAGAAATCAAATTACTTTTGAAAAGCGTAAGAGTAATAAATCCAAAACACCGTTTCTGTAGAATAAGAAACCAACAAGAGACTTTATGTTTTTTCAGTCTAGCCATGAAATCAATCAGGATGTGAAAATAAACCTGCTGGTATCCTGATTTCCGTGTAAACCCGAAGCCTCTGTACGCGTTAAGTTTTCTCATAGATTTAGTTTTTGCAAACGACCCTCAAACCAAGTCTGAACTTCGCCTATGGGTTTAGCTGCTGAGTGCCACGCCCTCGCCTCACCCTCTCTTTCCAAGTTTGTAGGAGAAACTACAGTGGCCGCAAAACTTGTGAAAGACCCTATCTAGAGCCAGTGTTTGGTTTGTCTGTTCTGGGCTACTGTATAAACATGGTGGTTCAACATGGTGGACTCTGTAGAAGAGGACCTCTATAGATAAAACAGCTCGTTCTAAGGTAACGAAAACCCGACAATCACCGGAGGACATCAGAGGGAAATATCAAAAATCATTTTCTCCATAAAATATGATCCAGTTTCACCAAAATCAGTGACATAGTTGGTGGTGTGTGATTACGTGCCGTAAACGTCACGTACTTGTCCCGGCCCTAAAGTTACAGTGCAGGGCCAGCCGCACAGGGATAGGTTACATAATGGGGCTTGAATGTGATATGGGCATTGAATAATGATGACTACTGAATCTGAAACATAAAAGCCCAAACTCAAAATATATCTTTTTATATACCATAAAAACTAAAGAAAATAATTAACACTTTCAAAGCAAATGCACATGCATTTGAAAGGGAGCTGCACTATCAGTCTGACACTACTAAAACTACTGACACAAGAAGCGGGAGCTGTTGGTGGGCTCTTAATCCAAACTACTGTATCATCCCAAACACTCCACTCAGTCTTGCTTGAAGGGATTTCTGGCTCTGAGGACCTGCTGTGTTTACAGCGCAGACAAAGAGGATTGTCGACCTTGTCTGATATTTTGTTTTTGGGGCAACCGAGTCTGTGAAGAGAACTAATAAAACTCTGGCAGCCTGTGCAACCATGTGCCACCCCATCTCCTCCCTCTGCCAACTGGGTTTGGCGCTCACCAGCAGCAGAAGGTGCAACTTCCCTTCTCCCGCGCCTTGACGAGCAGACGGGGGAGGAGGGGGAGGGCCCCCGTGAGCGACGACGAGAGCCGGGCTGATGGACAGAGGTGTTAACCCCATCGTCGGGCAGGGAGAGATAGCGGTGTTCTTGTTTACACACACTGCGGCCGGATTGTCACCTTGTCTGTCAGGGAAACATCCTATCTGCCTCCTCTTATCTCGAAGCGAGACAGCCAGCTACTCTGTTGGAGAGATCCGCTGCTGCTTCACATCACCATAAATCATTTCCCTCAGCCATACCATTGTTGCGTTTCATGTTATTTTTTCCCGTCACTCCTCCAGATACTACTCACTCCTACTCTGTCCTCAAATAGCTCCCACTTTTCCAGAACTCTCCAGTATTGGTTGACAATGACCCTGTGCCCTAATCCGCCCATGAGGCACTGAAGTGTATATTTCCATAAAAAGGGCTTCGTGAGCTGGATACTTACCATGGCAACACTGGAGTCACAGGCATTTTTGTCCTTTATTAAGAAGCGAGCAGCCTATTCATTAAGCGCTGTTGTAAATGTCATTTTCACCATTAACTTGTGCTGATTGTTAATCTTTACGAAGCGTCGGGACTGTTCAGATGCTGCAACCTTGCACAGAGCCAATTCTCACATCAGCAGACTGGATCTTGATCATTTAATTGAAGTTCTGAAGAAT